ACTAAACCCTAAACCCAAAACCCCCACCTTTCTAACTGGGTTGCGTTGCTGCTGCTGCTGTTGCTGCTGCTGCTGCTGTTTTTTCTGCTGTTGCTGTTGCTGCTCCGCCTTAAGTAATAAACTCGCGAGTTCTCTGTGCAGTCAGCTTACGCTGCTGCTGCTGCTGCTGCTGCTGCTGTTGCTGCTGCTGCTGCTGCTGCTGCTGCAGCTGCAGCTTGCGGCGCAGCTGCGGCAGCAGCTGCTGCAGTTCTGCTGCAAAGGGCAGTGAAAGCCAAGCAAGGCGAGCAGCTTTTGCTGTAGCAGCAGCAGCAGCTGCTGCTGCTGCTTCCTTTTCTCCTGCTGCTGCTGCTGTTGCTGCTGCTGCTGCGACCTCCTGCAGCAGCTGCAGCTTAACGGCAGCGTCGCGCTGCAGCAAAGACACAGCAGCAGCACAAAGTGCTGCTGCGCAGGGGCCAGCAGCAGCAGCAGCAGCAGCGGCAGCAGCAGGAGCAGCAGCAGCAACAACCACACCCTGCACCTGCTTCGTTACCTGGGTGCTGCTGCTGTCTCTGCTGCTGCTGCTCCTGCTGCTGCTGCTGCTGCTGCTGCTGCAGCTGCTGCTCATGGTGCAGAGACTTTGTAGCGCCTCGGTTGCTGCTGCTGCAGCTGCTGCATGCTGCTGCTGCTGCAGTAACTGCTGCTGCAGCTGCCACAGCAAGGGCTCAACGTTGTTAATTAAGATATCATCTGCTGCTGTAAAAGCTGCTGTTGTTGTTGCTGCTGCTGCTGCTGTTGCTGTTGCTGTTGTTGCTGCTGCTGCTGCTGCGTTCTCTGGGAGCGTCTTCTTGGTGGTCTCTGTTGCTGCTGCTGCTGCTGCTGCAGCAGCAGCGTCAGCTGCTGCTGCGTCTGCTGCAGCAGCAGCTGCTGCTGCTGCGTCTGCCGCGGAATCACCTGCAGCAGCTGCAGCAACAGCAGCAGCAGCAGCAGCGGAGGCAGCAGCAACCATCTGCTGCTGCTGCTGCACGAGCTGAGATGGAGATCTCTTTGTTGCTGCGAAGGAGCAGCGGGTGATGGCGTTCTGCAGCTGCAGCAGCAGCTTTGCTGTTGCTGCTGCTGCTGCTGCTGCTGTTGCTGCTGCTGCTGCTGCAACAACACTCTCCAGGGCCTCCAACTCCTGAGCAGAACCAGAAGCAGCACACCCACCACAGCAGCAGCAGCTCCTGCTGCTGCTGCTGTTGCTGCAGTTGTTTCTGCTGCTGTTGCTGCAGCAGCTGCAGCAGCAGCTGCTGCTGCTGCAGCAGCAGCAGGTCATTATATAACGAAGAAACAGAGTTAAATACAATACATATATAATAAAGATAAATTTAAGTTCTGTTTTCCCTGGTGTTGCTGCTGCGTTGAGGTGTACATACACCCCGCTGCGGTGTATGCACACCTCAGCTGCAACCGAGGTGTATATACACCTGAAATAAGCGCAAAAGTTTCATTAAAAAATTAAATTTACCGTTAAAATAAATTAAATAAATAAAATTAATTAAAAAAACCAAAAAAAAAGAGCAAAATTCAACAAACGAGAATCAGCAGCAGCAGCAACAGCAGCAGCAGCAGCAGCAGCAGTTGTTGCTGCTGCTGCTGCTGTTGTTTTTGTTCAGTTAGACAGAAACTGCTGCAAAGAAAAAAACAAAAAAACAAATAAAAATATCATTGAAAACAGATGCAACGATCTGTTGCTGCTGCTGCTGCTGTTTCTGCTGCTGCTG